CGGACAAGTTGCTGCGGACACACACACACACATACAGACAGCCCCGTGACAATATGCGTTTTGTACTGCTGTTACACAGCACAAAACGCATAAAAAGTCATTTAACCGCATACTGAGCCTTTGCATAATTTCCGGCCAAAGTATAAACATTCGACGCATTACGGAGCGCTCCAACGAGCTAGCAAAGAGTCACTTCTTCCATACCTCCGCAGCTTAACCCTTCTGACGATTTTCGCTTTTCTCTTATCCGGCTTCATCAGATTCTCCTCACTGCTGCTGCGCAACTACACCCATCGAATTGGGACTTCGGAAGCAGATAATACTGCTTCACCTAACATAACATGGTGCATTCACAGAAAATAAGTGTAAGTAAATGGAAACTTCCAAATCTGACAGTTTCACCATTTCTCGACAAGACAACCCACAAAATCTATGCTTTTATCATTTATACAGCCGAAAGAACAAATACAAATGGTAAACGAAATGCTAGATGTTTTCCAAGCGCGAAATCGCCACACGCTACGCCACATACCTCCTTCAATCGACACACGATCGCAGCACAAAACAATCTGCAAGCGCTGAGATGAACTTCGCAAAAGCCATCAAAATCAGCAATTGCCAACAAACTCAGGGCAAACCAAAATATCACTGAAAGGGAGCGATCCAACATTACTGGGATGCATCGGCACTCAGCGTAGCTACTAAGCCATGCTTCTCTGTCCGTAACCACTGCCTATATTGTATAGCATACGAAAGCTATTTTTGCTGAACGACTCCGTGCAATCACATTCCCTCCCCCTCCCGTTGCTTAGAATTAAACTGTGCACAATGGCCAGCAAAACGCACAAGACTTTTCGCACACAACGATATCCAGCACGCCACTCATTTGATGAGGAGGCGACCGAATGTCCACTGTCGCGAAATGACCACAAGCATCCTTCGCTCCATTGCTCCAGCTGTAATAGGCAGCGTCCACTTTCCCAATGATCGCCAGACAAAAAGCTAGGAAGAAATGATGCGCATCCCTTCAAGGAGCCATTTTCCAGTAACGCTATAGTTCATTTTTGAAAAAGAAGTATTACATGAGTTCCTTGCAAAGATTTATCTCTTGGCGAATTTTTGTTCAGTGAATCCACACGTTCGCTGAAGTCCTTTTCGATGACTGTGTAGCTGTTGCTCCAC